TGCAGGCCAATTTCAGCCCCCACTTGTGATTTTCCCGGGACCACCCTGCCTGAGCTATAAAGCAATCTGTGAAGGCTGCTACTTGTGCTGGGCTTGGAGATTCCCAGGCAAAGCCAAGCTGTGAAACTAATGCAGCTGCTGCTAGTGCCCGCCCTGGAGTTCACTGAGGCCAGCTGTTCCTTATTTGACAGAATTCAGGAGGTTGTGAAGCATGAGCCAAAACCAGCCATTCATATAGAAAAGCAGCTTGGGTGGGCCCATAAGTTGGGTGAGGGGGAGACTCTGAGGATCTCCAAGGCAGATCAAACAGTGTTAGCCAGCTTGATGAAGTCTCAGATATGGCACCAGCCTGCTGGCTCCCTGGCTCTGCAGAGGGAGGGCTCAGAAAAGGGACAATGGCTTCTGCTCACCCTGATGCCAGACACTTCAGCCTTTCCCAGTATGCCACTGGTACCCTTCAAGCAGCCACCATGGTGCTAGAGCTCAGAGGGAGTGAGTGAGTAGGTGAGTCTGTGTGTGGATTCTTTAAGAGGAGCTACTTGTGGCTCCAGAAGTTTCTTCCATTGACTCAATCCCTGCTGAGCAGACTCAGCAGCCATAATTTGTGGGGACTTATCCTCCTGGCATTGGAACCCTGGGCTGGGACTCCTCGCTCTAGAGATATCCCTCCCGAATATTTGTCCACCACACGAAGGTGAGAGACCAGCCTGTTCGCATCTGGGCCCCTCCTACCAGTCTCGATGGGCGTGGATGCTTTAATTCTGTAGTTGTCAGACTTCCATTCAATTCAATTTCTGATGGTTCTGAGTAATAGTTGTTCTATACTTTAGTTGTGATTTTGATGTGGTTGTGAGAAGAGGCGAGCTGTGTTTACCTATGCCGCCATCTTGAGCAGAAGCTCCCCCTTCAAGTAATTCTAACGCAGATCGCCCTTAAACTGCCCTTTTCGAAACACTAGTCTACAGAGGAAGGGTTTCTAGACCAATCTGGTGACCAGAAAGAATGTTGTTTCTGGGGAAAACAAGTAACTTTTTCTACTTAGGGGCGTTATAACTTTCTGTCTTACACCTCCAGGACTCATACTCAATTACCATAATATAGATTCGTATAGTATCAATAGTTCAAAAGCAAACATAAGTCATAATTTTTCTCCCATCTTATCTTTATGTAAATTTAAGTCAAGTTTATAATCGTGTTACTATTTCCCGGCGCAGGCCCACAGTTTAAATCAAGAACTGTGCTACTTGTCACCATGATGGAAAACCGAGGTGGTGGCTTCCCAATCACACGTCTTAGTTTACCTTTTTCCACCCGATGCCCAGGCAGCCTCACACCCTCCTGCACCCCTGAGGGTCAAAGCAGACACAGAAAGTGTACAAAACGGTGGCATTCCTGCTGAGTCTCTGAAGTCAAAGCTTACCTTTTCATATTTATATAGTTTTCCTTACCAAGCACATAAGCCATTGTCAGTATAAATTAACAGGAAATAGGTTTTTCACCTGAGACTAACATTTGTTAACACTAGCAACCTTACCTGAAGGAAATATTAGAACTCATTCGATAAAGGTGGTGGACTTTCTTACAAAACATTCCTGCTGTTAAGAGGATCAGTTGGAAAAAAAAATGTGACAGGGTGAAACCCACGCAAAGATGATTTTTAGTTATTGAAAGGAGTACCGCTAGTGACATCTGTGAATATGGTTCAGGAACAAGAATCTCTCCAAAAATTCTCCATGAAAGCATGAAAAACTGGCCAAAATGGCCAGAAACAATATTTTCAGAACACTGGAAAATTAAGCAACACTTACAGCATTCATGACAGTATTTATTCAAGAAAAACGGCTGATTCTCAGTATGAACAGCGAGCTTTGTGATGTTTTATTTGCCCTGTTCTCACCCTGCCCCCTCCTTGCTGGTGATAGCTTTAGAAACCAACAGCCTGCAGTCAAGGTGAAAATTAGCAATTTAGTGGCCATAGGAGGGGGCAAAACAGGACTGAAGCTCCTGCAAAGTCCCAGAGAATTATCATTATTTCACTTGTCTGGGATTCCGTGGTATACCCTACTTGAAAAGCTGTCTTTGTTAGGCCTGATTCAAAGCTTGCCTAGTGTGAAAAGCCTTTTTTCCAGGGGCATTTGTAGAAAGTGAGTATAGGCAATTGTTTAACTTCTTGGCTGCCTGAGCCACTAGATAACAGCTAAGGAAAAAACAGGCCAATCAAAAAGTTCCTAGCAGTGATATTTACAATAGCCAGGTGCTGGAAATGGCCTAAGTGCCCATCAGTAAATGAGTGGATAAAAACACTATGGTACATTTACCCAATGGAATACACAGCGGAAAGAAGAACTCTTACTGTTTGCAACAGCGTGGATGGAAATTGAGAGTATTAGGCTAAATAAAATAAGCCAGGTGGTGAAAGATTAATACCATATGATCTCACCTATAAGAAGAAGCTAATGAACAAACAAACAAATGAGTAAAATAGAACCAGAGGAATGGAAACAAGGAATAGACGGACAGGGACCGTAGACAGAGGGATAAGGGAGAAAAGAAGGGGATGGGTCTAGATAGAGATTAAGTGATAATGACCCATGGACATGGACAACAGGGTGGGTGTTGACTGTGGGAGCAGGGGTGGGCGGGGCAAGGGAGAGCAACAGGGGAAAATTGGGACAACTGTCATAGAACAATAATTTTAAAAAGTTTAATAGGAAAAGTTGGTAATGACACGTCTACAGTGGCTTTGAAAAGCTCTAAAATATTCCCGAGAGTCTAGAAGGCCATGTGCATATGCCCAGGGCTGTGTGCATGCTCAGGAAAGATCTGAGAAGGCTTTATGCTCTCACCTCTGGCTGATTGTGAGGCTTTGCACAAACAGAAGTGAAGGCTAAGGTGAAATTGTCACCTGTCTGGTTGAGTATTGAAGGTGTGACCCAATACACAGACAGAGTTCATTGGCAAAGACAGGAATATTTATTGGTTTCAGGTGTTTAAGAAAATCTCTCCCCAGTCATTAACTGAGAAGAGGCTTCAGTGCTGCAAATGACAATGGATACAAATTTTACACAATTAGTTCCAAAAAGTTACTAAACAAACAAATGATCAACAGCAAAAACAACAAACAGTAACAAAAAACACTGGAGCTGGTGGAGAATCTGATTTCCAGAGTTCCCACATCATGTTATCTTAAATGTCTAATTTTCAACGGAAAATTTTGAGACATGCAAAGAAATGAGAAAGTATAGCTCACACATAGAAAAACCACAGTCAATAGAAATCATCCCCAAGGAAGCCAAGGTATTAGACTTTTTAGACCAAAAAGTTAAATTAAGTATTATAAAAATATTCAAAGAGTTAAAGGAAACCATATATGAAGAACTAAAGGAAAGTATAAGAAAAATGCTCATCAAGTAGAAAATATAAATAAAGAGAAAAAAATTGTATTTAAAAGGGCCAAATAAAAATTTGTGGTTGAAAAACCATAAGAATTGAAATGAAAAATTCACTGGAGTGTCTCCTTAGGTGCTTTGTGCAGTCAGAAAAAAGAATCAGACCTTTGGCATAGGTCAACTGGAACATTCCAGTTTGAGAGGGGAAAAAAAGAATAAAAAAATGTAAATAGAGCCTTAAAAAAAGAGCTGTAGGACACCAACCATCATACCAAATACATGTATTAAGAGTCTCAGAAGAATAAGAGAAAAATAAAGATGCTAAAAAAATATTTAAAGAAATAGTCTCTAAAGGACTTCCCAAATTTAGTGAATAGCACTAATCTACATATCTAAGATGATCTAAAAATTCCAAGAAATATAAACTCAGGGAGATCCACACCTAGACATATCATAACCAAACTGCCAAAGACAAAGAAAGAATCTGGAAAGCAGTAAGAGAAAAGCAATTTGTCACATGGAAAGACTAAGATTAATAGTTGACTTCATATTAGTAACTATGGAGGCCACAATACAGTGAGATGACATATTCCAAATGCTTAAAGAAAAGACTGTCGCCAAAAATACTATATATATATATATATATATATATATATATATACACACACACACACATATATATATACATATATATATATTATCCATCAGATGGATTTTCATGCAAGGGCTTCATTTGGGCTGCTGTAACAAAGTACTGTACATTAGGTGGCTCAGAAACAACAGAGATTTATTTCTCACAGTTCTGAAGCTGCAAGTCTGAGGTCTGGGTGCCAGTCTTTGCCAGTCTGGTGAAGACGCTCTTCTGGGCTGCAGACTGCGGGCTGCCCACAGCAGAGGGCTGATGGAGGAAGCAAGCACTCCCACCGCATTTGTAAGTGCACTAATCCCACTTGTGGGCACTCCAGCCTCATGACCTCATCTACTCTAATTGCCTATGGAAGGTTTCATTTCCTAGTACCATGACATTGGGGGGCAGAGTTTCAACATATAAATTTGGGGGAAAACAAACATTGTAATGGCACTTGAATCCATAACAAGTGCCGAGACCACTCAGTGGGGGAAAGGAAAAATAAAATATCCACATGCAAAAGCGTGAACTTAGACTCCTAATTCATACCATGTACAAAAATTAGCTCGAAATGAATCAAAGACCCAAATAGATGAGTTAAAACAACTTTCTTAAAATTGTATGTTATATTAATTATATTTCAACTTAAAAATATAGTACAGCTTCTGAAAGTAACATTGACCATTTAAATTTCCATTAACATTTTCTTGGATGGCTTTGAGATATTGGATTGAGAAAGTTGATCTTGGCAATTAGGTTTGTGGGAGGAACACAACTGAAAGGGCCACACCCACACACAACCACAAACGCCCTACATGATCTAAAGCAAATGCAGGTGCTTCTGGATACTGTACTATAAAAATGTGACCACAGTTATTTTCCTGGCAAACCATTTTCTTTAACAATACCCCTGATCTGCACACCCACCACAATGCTGGAAACAGTATAACTTTCCAGACTAAAGTCAGCAGGGGTAACCCTACCTTTATTACTGTTTTGTTGCTCCATCAATAATTTACTTATTTCCGAAAACCAACAATCTCTGATTTCTTTTGAGGCTGCCTGCAATTACAGACAAGAAGGTACTATGAGTATCAGATCACCTGGAATATTGATTGCACCGGGCTTTTATCGTCTGAGTGACTTCTAGAATAATGAGATAGAAAATACCTGTCGAGTCATGGGGACACCTGTGGGGAAGACATGAGCTTTACCTGCAGGATGTATTTCTCAAGTCCGTTTCGGTTGGCAATTTCAAACTTTCTGTTGCTCCCCCTTTCAAGCTGGTGAATTGACAGTGTCGTCAACTGTCGTAGAGGAAAAAGAAAATTTTCCAGACCATCATTTTCTGATTTCCAAATGGTCACATCAGCTACCCTAATCCTTTCTACCCTGATACCTCCCTTCTTCCATCTTCCTTCTGAGTATTATGTTGTCCTCTCTTAATGGCCCCAAGGAGCATAAAACGCAGTCTGGTGCAGTGTCATCTGTCTCCTCTGTTTCAGAGGATAACACAACTCTGCCCTTCTGTATGTAGAGCTGCAGCCCACAACCTTTAAGCAAAAAGATGATCTCTCTCATCATACCTAAGTATTTCACAAATCTCTACCTGAGAATAACTGAATTAGTATCCATTAAGAAACATAACTCACAAAATCTACTAAGAACAAATTAACAACTTGAATCACAAGAACACAAGTGTGTGCGTGGGAATGAGTGTGTCTCACGAAACATTTCCTTATACAGGCAGCGCTTGATGTGGCCGTGGGTTCTTGGCCCCCGGGGGCAGGACGCTGCCTACACCTGTGTGCCGAAGAGCAGGTGGAAGAGGACATCCAGCTCATGCCCCAGTGACCAAGTCTTTCCCTCCTCTGCCGGGAGAAAAGAGGGTACTTTTTCATTATTTTGTCCAGACGGGCTGCTATATGGCCCTTTCTTTCTACTTAGCCCCAAATCACCTCTGTTCCACCCTGGTCCTGACCGATGACAGATCACAAGGCCTGAACTGACTCTGGAGTCAGACCTGGGTGTAGACTCTGGCTCTGTTGTGTGGCATTTGGCAAGTTAACCTCACCTCTCTGAAGTACAGTTTCCTATCTGTGAAATAAGGATGACTGTATTTCTGTCCGTAGGGTGGACTGATGCCCAGGTGCAAGAGGACCCCCTTACCTTCATAGACTTCTTAAAGCTGTAACGAGGAGAGCGGCCCTGGTCACTGGGCTCCATTCGTATCTTACAGAACACTAGTCCCCTTTCAAACAGGTAGATTTGCCTCTGGCTGGGCTTGAATCGCATGAAATCCTTCATCTTGTAGCCATCCTTGTGCACTGTCCAGATGCTGAAGGAGCCGTGCATCAACAGCCTGCCCAGTTTTCTGATATCGTCCTTTTAGAATTACAGACACACAAAATGAAGCTGTTAAATTATCTGACAGGGAAAAAACTATTAGGGGTGTGTTTTCAAGTTACAAGTCACGCTTATCTGAAGTTTACAATCTTAAAAGTGCCACTCAGGCTAATCTGTCGCTAAGTCAAAACTGCAATGTTGTAGGCCTCACTGAGCATGTTGATACCAGGCAGGTGTAGAAGGAACCGGCTCAGCAGTGCAAGGCAGCAAACAAACAGCATGGCTCGGGTACTGGAACTAAAGATGCAGGTACTCTCATATTTTCGTTTTATAAGTGATTTCAGCTAGTAGAATTGCATCTCCTCTTGTTTGTTTTTGATGCATGACACTACTTGCAAAGGGCAAGAAATCAGCATTGGAAGGATGGTCGGGAGGGACAGAATTTTCGCTGCATCACAGATCTTTGATAACCCATGTGTCCCATCTGTCTCCTAACAAACACCTGCTTCATGTGTGTGAGAACCCAAGATCGTGAGATCTGTTCTGAAAGGAGAAAGCTTCACGTGACCTAATCTTCACAGCATTGTAGTGGAAACGGTAATTACATCAACTCTGCATTTTTCAGAGTGAGCTAATAGTGTGCAGAGAAGCTCAAAAGACAATTTTTTTGAGTCTAAGCAGCACTAGGATGCTCACTGTGATACTTCTCTCTCCCAGCAAGCCCGCCTTCCTCACTGACAGTTCAAATTCCGAATGAGGTGTCCCCGCCTTCTCTGAGTTCTCCCCAAAGGGCGGTGGCGTGACATGAGCCAGGGAAGTGGTATTTTTCAACATTTACAGCACTTAGAGCAGATCATCAAAAATTTATTTCTTTGAGTCAAAACAGCAAAAGGAAAAGCTGTTTGAATAGGACCAGTACAGAGAAATTTCCCTGAGTTACATCTAGCTGAGCTAAACCCCTGCAACTTCTGATTGTTAATACTAGAAATGTGTACGTTTTGTATAACTGAGTAGGCATTTTTTAACTTATTGTTTATATTGAACAAACTGGGAATGTCTTCTTTTAAAAAAATTATACTTCTGAAATTCTAAAATAAAAATTCACGAGCAATAAACTGCAGCCATTTCTATAGTGTCTGGCATAGTTTCTATGCTAACTTTTTCTTTTTGCCTTGTAAAATTCGCATGTGTTCACCCCTCGAGGAGGAACAAAGAGCCCAGCTGCAAGGACTTCTCTCCCAGAAGCGGGTGGTCCTGTTCCGAGCCGCACAGTCCCCCAGACGGGTGAGCAGAGGGGTGCGTGAGGACTCCTGAGATGTTTTCACTCCAATCCACATGCTTCGAGAAGCCATGCAAATGAGACCTCTCCAGCCCTCAGGGACTGCTTTCTCCTTTAAACTATTCAGTTTGTACTCTATAGACATACACAGTACAGGAAATATGCTTTAGTTAACACAATCGGCCAAAGTAAGTGCCTAACGCTTGCCACATGAACAACTGTAATCGATAGTTTCTATTGCAAAACATATTGATACTCCATTTCAAACATTTGATACAGCTTATAAAATATATAGCTTATGGGCAGACAGAAAATAACAGAGGAAACTAGGATAAAGAAAAAGAGATTGAAAGATGGAGAGGTTGTCCATAACACCCACACAATAAAGCCGTGTAAACCTGCTGCAGACCCGGCTCTGACCCTTCGGCAGGCAGCACAGAGGGGCACAGAGCGAGTTTATGAGTCACTGCGTCTGAAGACATTCCCAGACCTGTTGTTCAGGAAAAACATAGGTTGCCGTTAAAAGATGGGAGAGAAATTTCTCCTATGGGTCCTCTTCAGAGGTCACGTAGTCAAATACTGAGCACACCCTCAAACACATCCTAGAGTAGATAGAATAGAATGGATTTTAGGTAGAGCTGTTTCTAAGAACGCATTTGGCGGATGGTGGAGGCATTACTTCAGGGTCGCAGCTGTAAAATCAATTCTAAAAAAGGCCGGAGCAATGCGGGCACGGAGAACAAGTGTAGGTGTGCACTCTCTCATGACTTGCACGGGGCTGGGCGATGTTACTTAAGATATCTACCAAAGCCATGGCCGTAGAAGGAACAGCCCCTTTGAAGCGGTAACCATGGACAGCGATGTGTTTGTCCCGTGTCACCTCTGTACTTTCCTCCTCACACCGCCCACAGTCATAGCTGTTCACACTTTGGGAGCCAACTGACCAAAGATGTGATGCCAGTGAGATGCCAGCCCCGGACCACAGAGGACTGGCGTAAAAAAAGATGGCAGACGGCCACCTGATCCTTGCCTCAACTGAGGAGCAGTCAGTAAGCAGCAGAAGCTGTTGCTGTGAGCTGCTTTAGCAGAGGGCGGGTGGTGGAATGAATGGTAAAGAAGCAGACCAGTGAAGAAGATGAATCACCAGAAACTGTGTGGAAGAGGAAAAGACGTGAAAAGAACCAGTCAGTGAGTAGTGAGAGGGGGGGATAGTGGGTGTGTAGTCGTACTTGCACATGCGGGCAGAGTACACAGGTGAGAACCCCAACTCCCTCCCGGGATAAGGCTAAGGATCCTAGAATTGTCCAGCTCCCACCTCTCTGCCCTGGGCCCTGCCACTGTTCTGACTCTTCCCAAGGTTCTGTGCTTGGCTTTTCCAGTAAGTCTGTCATCAGGGGTGGTCACTGAGGGGCAACTGCTGGGTCTGATTCCAGCTGAAACAGATGAGGTGTATATCCTCCAGGCTGTCTTGCATAAACACCCCCAGAACCATGCTCCGGATAGGATTAAACACCCAGGATGTGCATGTGTCGAGGTCAGCCACTGCAAGGGGAAGCAGGACCCAGGGTAACCCCGGGGCCATCTTTTCAACCATGTTATGTTCTTTCTTTCCAATCAGGCTGCAGTTGGTCCCAAAGGCAGAGATCATGTGCACAACCTCTTGCAGATATTTGCTCTTTAGAAAGTACCTATTCATTTATCGGCATTTAGTGAATGCCTGGAGGGGCGTGAAACTAAGAGCTCAGCACTATAAGGGAGTTAATTCAGTGATGTCTCTCTATGGGTTGGAGAAGAATCTCCTTCAAAATTCATGTCCACCTGGACCTCAGAATGTGAGCTTGTTAGAAATAGAATTTCAGAGGTAATTAGTTGAAGTGAGGTCGTACTGGATTAGGGTGGGCCCGAACCTAAAGGTTGGTGTCCTTATGAGAAGAAGAAATGGAGACAAGGAGATGCACAGGAATAGAAGACAGTTATGTGAAGACAGGGGCAGAAATTGGAGTGACGCAGCTGTAAGCCAAAGAATGCTATCCATTGGCAGACACTGTTAGATGCCAGGAGAGGAGCAAGGAGGAAGGGCCTTCAGGGGAAGCATGGCTGTGCCAACACCTTGATTTTGAACTTCTGGACTCCAGAAATGTGAGAAAATAAATTTCTGTGGTTTTAAGCCACCTGATTTGTGGTGTGCTGCTATGGCAGCTCCAGGAAATGAATACACTCCCAACCAGTTTTGCTACCAGTGGCATGATGGCATGACCTTCACTTTGATGTGTTGAAAAATCTGATGGATGGGAGCTCAGAGATAGACTAGGGGGCACCCCAAATGAATGAGCAAGTGAAAAGTCCTCCTCCATCTGGGAAAGGATGGCAGAAATAAACTTGTAAATGCTACCACTTTCTTTGTAGGTAAAAGCTTTCATGCGAGAATTGTAAATGCGACTACATGAACCAAAGGAAGAACCTGGCTGAGGGAGGGAATCGGGGGAAGCTGGCCTCCAGAGAGAGAACTCTTTGGGGGGCCCAGGTTTTCATTCCTGGTAGTGACAGCTACTGGGACAGAGCTATATGCTTCTTTTACAAAGAAGCAGGAAACATCTGGAGAAATGAATCAGCACACAGCCTGGCCCAGAAATAAAAGGCAGAAGCTGTGGGACACAGGAGCCCTCGGTGATTACAATCGCCAGAAGCAAAGGTCTTCCTTCCTTCCAACCTGATGGAGCTCCCAATGCCAGAACTAGGGCTCTGTATTCAGCACCTACCAGCTGCCAAGCGAGATGTGGAGTGCCTTCAACACAATTTAATCCTCAATTACCCCACTTAGACAGAGGTGTTCTGAGGGTGGGAAGACACGCAAAGCAATTCAACTGAGTCATTAAGATTGTTTACTCAGCCTTATCTTTGCAGCCGACACTATGGTGGTAAGGGAACTGGAAAGTAAGCTAGAAATGAAATATCTGGTCCTACCCCACAATACACTTGCAATAAAAATACTTTAATAAATTATATAATTTTTTTTCAGAATATGAAAATGTTTCACCCAGCTGTTACTATTCAACTTTGGAACTTCTTTTTGGCAAGTCAGGATTGTAAAGGACGCTAAATGTATCTCTATTTTATACATGGGATTGAAGAGAGAAAAAATTTTTTTAGCAAATAGAGGGAAGTAAACTGAACCTCAGTGTCTCCCAAACAATCTTGCTTTTAAAAATTATCTTTAAAATATGTTTGTGAGTAAACTAAACCAAGACCTCAGTATACACAAAGAGAAAATGTAAATATCAGAAGGGAATTTTTTTCCAGTAGTTTTAATTAGAAATTCATCCACTCAGGTTCAATTTCTTTCCTTTACAAAACCAGGTTAATGTTGGATGTCAAGTAGAGAAACTAGGAGGTTAAGCTGGATTCATCCACACACCCAGCATATGATTGTAAACACCTTGTGAGGAAGTTCCACAAAGCCGAGGCAGAGGATCTCAGGATCATTAGACGTGAGTTTGTGGTGGTCGAATTGTTAGTAATTCTAAACAGAATCAAATGAGAATGCGTTGAGAGGATGGTACCCTGGCTAGGGAGGGAAGGGGTCCCAGAAGCCGTGTGAGAAGGGGACCCCGTGATCTCAGACGAGGTGAGTCTCCTTTCCCTAGACCTGCTGCTGAGTCAGGAGGCTGAAGTTTCCCCTGCCTGCTCCTCTGTAATGCAACAGAATTATCCGAAGCTGCCAAGATAAATGAGCTAATGTACGAGATGTAAAGAAAGTTGATCTTAGCAAAACAGAAACCATAAAGTGTATGTCAAAGGTACAGTTCTGAGGACACATGGGGGGGGAAAGATTTTTTTTGTACTTGGAGTAAAATCTCTAAATTCTATAGATTGGTTCATCTGATTTGCACACAAGCCGTTTGGAATAAAATTAGCATAGACTGCTAGTTATGTTTTCATCTTTCTTTTCTCCTAACTTCCTCTTCCTGTGTTACTTACTCTCAGAATAATAGCTGGGAGTTTCCTGCCTTGCGTAACATTCATTTAATTCAGGCAAGCGGATACCTAATAAGGCAGTTGACATATATTCAAAGATGAAAAGAAAAGAACAGAAAGATGTCCCAAAGTGATTCAACAATTTTGAATTGATACTTCCTTGATACTTAGCCAAAGAAGAAGAAATTATTACCAAGAAAGTAACCTCCTCTCACAAGCCCGGTGGTTCATGAATACCCTCTTGAATCATGCATCAGCAGAAAACAGAGTGTACTCTGGACTCCAGTGTCACTTGCCAGGTCACCGTACACCCCGTGGGGCTGTTTCTAAGATGCTGGACAGAGAACTACCAGAAGAAAGAGAAATAAAAAGATCACAATTTTTGCCCCTAATTAATTTGCATAATTTGATTTGTGATGAGGAAAAAGAAGAAAGGTCATTTCATCTTCCCAGACTTCAATAAAGAAAATGTTAAAACCAGGTATAAATGAAAAGCAAAACAAAGATAAGGAAAGTATCTGAAATGTAATTCTGAGAACGCTTGGTCCCTATGTGGTAAACAGAATAATAGCTTCCCAAAGAGAGCAGGCCCTGGTCCCTAAAATCTGAGAGGATGTTGGTCACATGCTGAATGGTTGCAGATGGAATCAAAGTTGTGAATGAGCCCACTTTGAGATGAGGAGATTATCATGGACTCTCTGGGTGGATCCAGAATAAGCACAAGAGTCCTTAAAACGTGGAAGAAGCCCTGGCTGGTGTAGCTCAGTGGATTGAGTGCAGGCCTGCAAACCAAAGGATCGAGGTTTGATTCCCAGTCAGGGTACATGCCTGGGTCGCAGGCCAGCTCCTGGCAGGAGATGCCTAATAGGCAACCATACATTGATATTTCTCTCCTTCTCTCCTTCCCTTTCCCTCTAAAGATAAGTAAATAAAATATTTTTTAAAAAGTGGAAGAGAAGCAGAAGAAAATGTCAGGGTGACATCATCGATGTGAGAACTGAACGAGCTGCTGCTGGCTCAGAAGTGGAGGCAGTGGCCATGAGCCGAGCAAAGATGTTTATTTTGTTTGTTTTAAGATGGAAAAGATGAAGAATGGATTTTCTCCTGGAGCCTCCAAAAAGGAAGGCAGACACCTTGATTTTAGCGCCTGGTGAGATGGTGTTTTACTTTTGCCCCATGGAACTATAAGATAATCAGTTTGTAGTGTTCTAAGCCACCAAGCTTGGGGCAATGTGTTATGACAATGATGGAAAATTAATATACCTGAGTTAAAATCTAGAGTACTTTACCGTGAGCACCAGTTGAATATCACTTATGCTCCAGTCCCCAGGCAGACACATGGTTAGAGGGGACAGTTTGGTTGCCTGCGATGCCCGGGACTGGACTGCTCAGGGTTAACACTGAGGCTGGAGGTGAGACGGCTCTGCTCCCGGCACCGTTTTCCCTGGTACTTTCCCTGAACCATCTGGATGAAGGGATGTACACTACATGCTTGTGGGGACCCCTCCGGAAGCTGTGATGTAACATGGGGTGAGACTTTCACTTAGGACCCATATTCAAAGTAATCTTTATGGAGAAAATCTGAGTAAAGGAGGAAAATCATTTAATATTTTAATAGTGCCAGGAGTCAAAATAAATGACTCTTTTAGCAACTTCCCCTGCCCACATATATTCAGTCCCCCAAGCTCCTGTTTTTTCCGGAGCACAGGTCAGTCTCAGCATTCTGGACCATGCAGAATAGAACCCAAGGTGCCCCAAAACCCTGAGGGGCTGCTTGGGGTCTCACAGCACAGATCTGCTGACTGGTACAGGCGACTTTCTGCAGAGTCAAGTTTCTTTTTATTTGTTTATTTTTTTGGAAGGGTCACACTGCCTGTCAGCAATAGTGTTTCCTTCCTTTAAAAAAATTATTTCGTTCAATTATAATTGTCCCCATTTCCCCCATTACTCTCCCCCACCCAGAGTCAATTCCATTACCATAAATCACTTCTCCAGCTTCGCCACAGCCTCTCCCACCTTGTTATATTGTTCCTGCCTCTCCTGTGACACCTTCCAACAATTGTTATGGAGCATAACGTACCGGACATCCAGTGACTGCGGCCAGGTCCACGGCCAGTTCACAGGACTTGATCAAATCCTCCACCACAGCCAAAGCCTGGTGTAGTTCAGCTAAGGATGCAGAATCCTCGGTCCTCTTTGGCCCCTTCTGTGGAAACCAAATGACTTGTTGGAAAACAAAAGGTAAACCATCTACTAAGTAAAGAAGGAAAACAGGCCAGAGATAAGCAGCCATGGATCTGGCCAGCATGGAGTATCTGGGAAGGTGATACACCGACCTGCTCCCTGCTCCCAGGGAATAGTGGCTAAAGCTAGTGGCCGGGTTCCCATCATACTGGGAGGATGCTCTCATTAAGCTACTTGAGCAGGCCATTTCTTTTTTTTCTTTTTAAAAAATATTTTATTTATTTTTAGAGAGAGGGGAAGGGAGAGAGAAAGAGAGGGAGACAAATGATGTGTGAGAGAACATAGCCTCTCGAACATGCCCTGACCTGGGACCAAACCAGCAACCCAGGCATGTGCCCTGACTGGGAATTGAACCGGCAGCCCCTCGCTTTGCAGGATGACATCCAGCCAACTGAGCCACACCAGTCAGGGCTTGGCAAGGCCTTTTTTAAAAAAATTCTATAAGAGTTTATTTGAGCCAAAATAAGAACATATGTCTGGGAGCAAGATCTCAAATGCTGTGGAGAATAACAGTTTTGCATCTTCTCTTATACATTTGGGATTATGGAGGAAGTTGAGGAAGATTACATGGAGGTGGAAGAAAGCAAAATGGAGATTAGATGCATTACAGGATAGTTAACAAGATTATGTGCTCTCTTAAGAGTGGTAGTTGTGGTTTATTTCCAAGGGGTGCCAACCTAGATGAGCAGAAGGGTAAACTTATTCTTAAAACCATCCCAGAGGAGAGTGTTCTTAAACTTCTATAGGCACAAAGGCTGGGCGGCCACATGGAGGTTGACTAATGATGCATTTGCCATAGAGAATCCCCCACAGTGCTGCCCTTCCTCCTCCTCTCCTCCCCCAAAACCCCCACCCCGTCATGCTACTGCCCTTAAGGATGCCATCCAGGTCCGCACTTCCCAAACACGAAGACTCGGCGTTAAGTGCAAAAGCCAGAGCTACTAACTGAAGAAACCAGTTTTGACTGTTACCACTGGGACGCTTTGGACATAATAGGGATGACTGTTTCAGCTCAAAAGGCTTTTGCTTAGGTTTTCAATATAGTATTCCCCTGCTACTTAAATAGCATCTTTATATTATCTAGTAAATGCAAACAAAACAAGTTTGGTTTCTTTCCATCTTTTTAAACACACCAATTTCTACAACAAAAACTTTGCTGCCCCATATGGCCTCACCTCTTTCTCTTTCTTTCTTTCTTTCTTTCTTTCTTTCTTTCTTTCTTTCTTTCTTTCTTTCTTTCTTTCTTTCTTTCTTTCCTTCCTTCCTTCCTTCCTTCCTTCCTTCCTTCCTTCCTTCCTTCCTTCCTTCCTTCCTTCCTTCCTTCCTTCCTTCCTTCCTTCCTTCCTTCCTTCCTTTCTTTCTTTCTTTCTTTCTTTCTTTCTTTCTTTCTTTCTTTCTTTCTTTCTTTCTTTCTTTCTCTCTCTCTCTCTCTTTCTTTCTTTTTTTCTGCAAAGCTAGCTTTTATTCCACCTAACGGAGAATTCTTTTTAAAAAATATATATTTTATTGATTCTGCTATTAAAGTTGTCCCCCCTTCATTCCCCTCTACCCTGCACACCCCCTCCCACTCACATTCCCCCTTTAGTTCATGTCCATGTGTCATAAGTTCTTTAGCTTCTACACTTCCTATACTATTCTTGCCCTCCCCATCTATTTTTTGCCTACCATCTATGCTACTTGTTCTCTGTACCTTTTCCCCCTCTCTCCTCCTCCCAGTCCCCTGTTGCTAACCCTCCATGTGATCTCCATTTCTGTGGTTCTGTTCCTGTTCTAGTTGTTTGCTTAGTTTGCTTTTGATTTAGGTGTGGTTGTTAATAACTGTGAGTTTGCTGTCTTTTTACTGTTCAAATTTTTTATCTTCTTTTTCTTAGATAAGTCCTTTTACTATTTCATAAAATAAGGGCTTGGTGATGATGAACTCCTTTAACTTGACCTCTTTCTTTTATCCTCTACTGCATAATGTCAGTGGAGGATTGTGTACTTCCTTAACCTCTGCAGAAGCACTGCGATTTCTGGATCAGAGATATGAGTGACGGGTCTGATGGATGGAGCTGAGCACACTGCCTCCACCAAATAGTTCAGCATGGGTTCTTGTCTTCTCCCTCATAATAAATATGCTCTAGTCCTGGTGAAAGTCAGCAGACTCTCACCTGACTTCACAGTAATACCATCACTAAAGAATTAAAAGTTCTTACACTGGGTATCTTCCTCTTTATCCCAACACATAAACTCAACTTCTCTTTGGAGATTCAATTGCTCTCATTCTCTTTCCTTCCTATTTTTACATACACTGGTAATGTAAGGTTCAGAAAAAGCCTTACCAACATTACTAAACCCCTCTAACTCAGGCTAGCTTCCCTTCCTTCAGATCATAAAATTATTGCCTGTGCCTTGAGCTTCTTATTTCAAGGTGGTCCCCAACATGCATTCTGAGCAGAGACAGCCTGCACATGACTGCTATGCTTGAGACACATGCCCTAGGTTTTCTTGTTAAAACCAGAATATTTAATAGGAAATTTAAAAGAAACCTCACTGCAAAGCCATGTCTTCCTTACCTAGCTGGCCACCATTTCCTCTAAGAGAACCTTAGAATTCACCTACCCACACATGCACACACTCACACACACTCTTGGAGGGAAACAGGACATAATATATACAAATTAGATAAACAAATAAATAAATATAAATCATTCATAATCCTGTCATGCAGAAAAAACATAGTAGAGATTTTATCATATTTACTTATACATTCCTATTTGTATTCTTGTTAAAACATTTTTATGTGAAAGGAAGAATATATATTACTACTTATCCTACTACAAATTCCCACTTTGAAATTGCCTTTAATTTTTTTGTTTTTTTCTGACTGTGAATTATGAAATATGTACCATTTTAAAACATGTAGACAATAGAGACATTAAGCATGGAAAACAATATTGCCATGAATTCTCCCACCCAGGAGAATTCCAGGTATCCATTTATTAATGGACAAATGCCATTAACAGTTATATAAAACAATATTTAACATCCAATACCTTAGTCGAACCTCCTCCGAGGTCACCTGGGTCTACTTCCAAATCCGCAGGAGACTCCAGATCCAGCAGACCCTGCAGTAACCCAAAGCCTTATTAAAAATCAGAAAGTTAAAATGCCAACTAAATCTACTGTGCAAACCATCTTGAGACAAATGCTAAACTAACTGAGAGTGTATGCAGATTTGTCGGCCTGCCACAAGTGAGAGGGAAAGAATCGAGGGGTATATTTGGCACGGAGTTCTTTCTCAGGTGAAATACTACTGGATACATTCCCTGTAGCCTGCTTTCTCACTCAGCAACATACTGTGAATATTTATTTTCTCACGACATTATATTTTTTAAAAACAAGGTTTTGATTGTGGCAATGTTGCATCCTACATGTAAATCATAATTAATTAATCTCCTCTATAGTTAAATATTTAGGTTCCATAATTTTTCCTTAAGATAAATTCCTAGAAGTGGAGTTGTCAGTGTTAAGAGTTTTGATGCATATTAGCAAGTTCCTTAGAGGAGACTCTGTTCCCACCAGCCGCCTGGGGAACTCTCACTCCCAGTCTACACTGAGAATTGCCATTTAATCAAACAGTTTGGCCAGTTGAATTAACAGAGCAGTGCTACCTCTCTGTATTTTAGTTTGAATTTCTCAGATAACTAGTGCGGTAGAGCTTTCATAGAACGTTTACTACTGACATTCATCCTTTTGTAAACTGCCTATCTACTTTGTTAATTTTTTATTATTAATTTCTTTTTTAAAAATCAACTTTACTGAGATATGCCTGACATACAAAATTGGTAGATATTTAAACCATACATCATAGCGATTTGATACACGTGTACATTATGAAAGGGTTCGCCTCCTCTAGTTCATTAACACATCCATCACCTCACATATTTATCATTTTTTGTGGCTTTGGTGAGGATGTTTGAGTCTACGCTCTTAGCAAACTTCTATTATACAGTGTTACCAGCTTCAATAATGTGATGCAGCCACCATGCTTTACGTTACACCCTCGGACCTTTGTCATCTTACAGTGGAAAGCTTATCATATTTACCGACCTCTCCCCATCGATTATTTCTTTAAGCAGAGCCTATTTAATTTTTTTAAAGAAGAAAAATGAATGTTTCTCTTATGATATGAGTTGGTTTCTCATCATATTGTATCACAAGAAATCAGGATGACCATTTTTCTAGAACATTCTTGTAATAAGCAAAACTTACAGTAAACAAATAATGTACCCTTTTACAAACCATATCTTAATTAAACAAAACCCAGACAAGAAAAATTCTCTACAGTAAATTTGAGAGTTTCCATCCATCACTTAGCTTGTTTGATAGAAATCATTAGCTCAGTGAACGCGAGTTCCTCTTGTCCCTAAATGTCAATTTGTCATGGATTCTTTCCAATGTATTCAGATAATAATATATTAATATTGCTTAATTACCTTGCCTTGACTCTTTAGATATTGTGTACTCACAAAACTATTGGTCACGACTATTAATTTTTATAATATCTCAGACAAGATAGTAAGCATTTCATAGATTTTTTTCTTATTCCTAATTTCTACGAGCTCATTATTAAGCATGGGGACCACTGGGCATATACATGCGAATACGTCTTTCCCCATTTTTCATGTGAGTTTTTATTAGTACAATCTATCACTCCTCCTTTCTTTTATACATCAAAAACTCTCCCACACCAGGACTGCAGGATCCTTTCTCAGCCATGGGGCGATGGTCCAACACCCATGCTCTCTCTAAGAAGCTGCAGAACAAGTCCGTTCCCCGGGGCGGACAACTCCACAAAGCTCCTCCCTCCACCACACGCCAGTGGTATAAACTCGCGTTTCTGGGCACCCAGCAAGCTTCTCTGTGGGAAAAACTGGTCTGCCCTGAGTAGGCCCCCGTGGTTTCGCAAAGACCTCCGAGGAGTATTGTACAGTAATTCTGTCTCTTGTTTTTTCAGTAAAACTAACAGAATATTCAAACATGTATTACCTCATTTAATGTTAAGAGTTTTTATGGATATTTCCAGAAAGAGCACACCAGAAAAGTATTGTTTAACCTTCTTCATTTTACAGCCGAGGAGCATGAGGCAGAGAGTGGTTACTGACCTGCCTTCCTGCACAGAGCTGTCGGATCCTGGGTCTCTGCGTTTCTAATCGCCATGCCCCACAGTCCTCTGCAAAGGGAACTTAGCTACTGTGTCAACATCACGTCAAAGGAAAAACCGGAGCCTCCAGTCCCTGGAGCAGCCAGGCTATGTCCGCTCCCTGCTCACTGGTAGGACTTCGTAACAGTAAGAATGGGACCGGCAGAGGCATACGAGGCCCTAGGCGAATGCCGTATCTGAACATGCTCACAGGTATCACTCATATGGGGAAGCAGTGAGCCACCCTCCTTAGTCCCACACAGGATTGACATCCGCAGGTATAAAACAGCGGCCACGTAGCCCAGGAGCTTCTTGCGCATTAGCGCCCAGAGAGCTCTCTCCATGCATTTACTCACTGCTTCCCCCAGCGAGCAGGAGGTTCTGGTATCTTCATTTTACACACGAGAAAACCCAGGCCTAGCACGCCCAGTAATCCCACAGCTGGTGGCCGCAGAGGCGGTTCAGCCCAGCGGGGTCTGCTGACGCAAGGCTGAAAGGGGCACATTTTTCTGAGGGCAGATGCTTGGGCCATGAGCCTAAGCTCCATGAGCCTCAGTTTCTTCATACTCCAGAGCCTTTCTGACACATCTGACTGTGAGCATTAAGTAAAAAATACACTTGGAAAGGTATCCAGTAAACAGCAGTGGGGTTTTTGGGTTTTTTTTTTTTGAGTTAGTAGCCACAAAACACAACTTGGAGAAGTGTCCCCAGCCTTCCCCTCAGCTTCCCAGGGAGGCAGCCCTGGCAGTGCCTCCCGCCCCACTCGGGGTGTCTGGGAGTGCTCTCCTGCAGGTGTGCTGGTGTCAGAGAGAGAAGGATGGTCTAGGAGTTCTTCAGAACACAATGCATCTGTTGTAATGCTCTTGAGAAAGATTCCAAATCTAAGGGTGGAGGCAGATGTTGCAAAAAGAGGGAAAACTCCAGTTTTGCCTTCTTCCTTCCATTGTCTTAATGCAGGTGAAAGAGTGACTTAGGGGAAAATCATACCTCTTTCTTGAAGCTCCTGGCCTCATCCGTAAAATGGAGCCGATGACATCTTACCTGGAGATATCTTACAGGAGAGTGGAGAGAGGCCTGGCCGCCTCCCCATCCCCCCAGTTGCCAGCAGTGTGGCTGCAGCCCTTCTCATCACTCATTTCCCAAGCACCTCTCCTCCCTTAACCTGGGCTCTTAAGAGATTCGTGCCTTGGCTGCCTGTTGGACCAGCCAAGCTCCCAGGTGCCTTTCAACTCCATGATTCTTTCATCTTATGCTTCAGTGAGGAGGGCTGCTTTAAAGCTCAAAGGACAGGTATTTTCACCTTTGGAAAACAGTCACAACTGTAAGGGAAAGAGCACCACAGTGCATCCATCTGTTTGCCAACATGGAAAAGCACTGTCTTACTGACTTTACCTTCAACAGCATCTGGTATTTTATGAGTCTCTGGCTGGGTCCTCCAAGATACTTAAAAAGAGGGAGATTGTGATCCAATTGGCGCTGACATACCTTTAAAAAACAAGCAGAAACAACATAAAACAAAGCACACAACACACACAGGAAACAAAAGTGGTGGCATTTAAATACAAGAAATGAAACAGGCTGTTCACAGATGACAGGGGCAGCTGGGTTGACCTGGTTTGTACTGTTGCCAAGCTGTTCAGTCCTTCGGGAAGTGCATGTGAAGCGAAACAAAGGGGAAAGGGGACAACTTGGCTAGTATTCTTCTTATAGGCAAGGGAAGCAGGGCCATCTATTTCTTTTAGCAAGTAATTCTGCTAGAACACAGTGGGGCATTTCAGATGCTTTGGAAAAGGAGGCAGCCTGTGCTTGACTTAGGGTGTGGTGGGGCCTGAGGGGCACATAATAGCTCACTGATATCATTCTCTGGAGCACCGACATGTAACCTTTTGGACTGAATTCCATTTTTAAAACCTATCTCAGAAGAGGAGTCTGGTTTTCTCACCAGGCTACAGCAGTCCCTCACAGGCCTGTCCCACAGAGACCCAGGGTGGCACTGAAACTTCTCATGTGCAATTTCAAAACAGGGGAGACTTTTAATAAACATAAATCCCAATACCGAATTCCTCTACTGAGCTCACACTCTTGAGATCTTTAAAAATTTGACGCACATAAACATTGTCCAGAGAAAACAATTTGTGGGAGATGTAATCTCAACTTTACCCCAAAGTAGGCACAGTCTTGACATTCTTGCCAGATTGCCCTAGCTCGGGGCAAATTCTTATGGTATTTAAAATAGACCTGAAGATCTTCTTTCTGAATGGGAAAAAATTAGAACAAATTAATCAGGTAGTCTTTTTCAGTAAAGTGGATAAAATAGTTTATTCATTCATTCAACACACCAGAGGTCTTTTTAAATTTTATTTTATCTTTTCCACCACCATTTATCCCCCATACCCTCTTTCACCTCCATCCATCCTCCCCGCCCTGCAGCCACAGTCACCGCACTGCTGCCTGCATCCGTGACCTCTTCCTCACTGTGTGCTCACCTCCACCCCTCTGCCCTCCCGGGCGCCCCCTCCCCAGAGCTGTCAGCCTGCTCTCTGTCTATGGGTCTGTCTCTATTTTCCTTGTTAGTTTAGTTTGTTCATTAGATTCCATACATGAGAGAAATCACCTGGTCCTTGTCTTTCTCTGACTGGTTTATTTCATGTACCATAATGTTCTCCAGATCCATCTATGTTTCTTTTTTATAGCCAAGTAGTATTCTATTGTGTAAATGTCCTCTAGTTCTTTTATCCATTCATCTACTAATAGACACTTGGGCTGCTTCTCTATCCCGGCTATTTAGATAACATTGCAATGAACATAGGGGTGCTTATATTCTTTTGAATTAGTGTTTCAGGGTTCTTCAGATACATTTTTCAAAGTGGAATCACTAGGTCATCAGGCAATTCCATTTTTAATTTTTTGAAGTAACTCCATACTGTTTTCCACAGTGGCTGCCCCAATCTGCATTCCCACCAACAATACGTGAGGATTTCCATTTCTCCACATCCTCGCCAGCACTTGTTTGCTGTTTATTGATGGTAGCCATTCTGATAGGTATGAGGTGGGATCTCGTTGTGGTTTTAATGTGCATTTCTCTGACGATTGGTGATGTTGGGCATCTTTTCATATGTCTGTTGGCCACCTGTATGTCTTCTTTGAAGAAGTGTCTATTCGGGTCCTTTGCCCATTTTTAATTGGATTGTTTGCTTTTGGGGGTTTGTTGTGTTCTCATTTTCATTTGTTTCTATGTATTTTTAATTTCTTCCTTGATCTCATTGTTAACCCATTCTTTATTTAGTAGCATGTTATTTAGCCTCCCTGTCTTTGTGTATTTTACAGTTGTCTTCTTCTGATTGACTTCTAGTTTTATAGCACTGTGGTCAAAGAAAGTCCTTAATATGATTTCAATCTTAAATTTATTGAGTCTTGTTTTGTGTCCTGACATGTGGTCTATCCTAGAAAACATTCCATGTGCCCTTGAAAAGAATGTATATTGTACTGCTTTGGGATGCAATGCTCTAAATATCAATTAAATCCATTTATTCTAGTGTATCATTTTAAGCCACCATCTCATTGTTGATTTTCTGTCTGGAAGATCTATCCATTGATGCCAATGGGGTGTTAAAATACTAGGACTCTATTACTGTCAAACCCTACCTTTATGTCCATCAAGATTTCCTTTACATATTTAGGTGCTCCTATGTTGGGTACATAAATGTTTCTAAGGATTATATCCTCTTATTGAATTACTCCCTTTATTATTAGGTAGTGTCTTTCTTTGTCTCTTACTATTCCTTTGGTTTTAAAGTCTATTTTGCCAATTATAACCCAGCTGTTTCTTCCTTTCCATTTGCATAAAATATCTTTTTCCATTTCTTTACTTTTAGTCTGTGTGTATCTTTGTTCTGAGGTGGGTCTGTTGGAGGCAGCATATATGTGGGTTTTGTTTTCTTATCTATTCTGCTACCTTATGTCTTTTGATTGAAACATTTAAGCAATTTACACTTAAAGTGATTATCGATAGGTACATATTTATTGCCATTTTATTTTTTTAACCATGTTCCTCTGTGTCCCCTTGTCCTCCTCACCCTCCTCCTTCTTCAAGCCAGCTCTTTAATATTTCTTGTAATACTGGTTCGGGTAACAAACTCCTTTAACTTTTTCTTATCTTGGAAGCTCTTTACTTCTCTTTCAGTTTTAAATGCTGACCTTGTTTGGTAAAGTAGCCTTGGTGGTATGTCCTTTCTTTTCATACTTTAAGCATTTTATACCAATCTCTTCCAGCCCAAAATATTTCTGTTGAGAAATCAGCTGACAGTCTTATGGGAGCTCCCTTTTAGGTAACTCACTGCCTTTCTCCTGTGGCTTTTATGATTCTCTCTTGTCTTTCATCTTTCCCATTTTTAATTATGTTGTGTCCTGGTACAGGCTTCTTGGGTCTATCTTGATCAGGATTCTCTGTGCTTCCCAGACATGCATGTCTTTTTCCTTCACCACATTAGAGAATTTTTCAGTCATCATTTCTTCAAATATGTTCTCAATCCCTTGCTCTTTCTCTTTTCTTTCTGGTACCCCTATGATGCTAAGGTTATTGTGCTTCACATTGTCCCAAAGGTGACTTATACTATTCTCGTTTTTTCTAAAATCCATTTTTTTTTTTTTTGCTGCTCTGATTGGGTGTTTTTTCCTACCTTGTCTCCCAAATCACTGATTCAATCCTCTGCTTCATTCAACATAATGTTTGTTCCTTTTAATGTATTCTTTACTTCAGATATTGCATTCTTCATTTCTGGCTGGGTCTTTTTTATGATTTCTGTGCCCTTTTTCATGCTTTGAGTCTCTTTATAATCATTACTTTGAACTCTATTATCTGATAAATTGCTTGCCTCCATTTCATGTAGCTCTTCTTCTGGAAAATGTTTTTTAACTTGGAGCTTGCTTCTTTGCTCCCTATTTTGCTTGTCTCTTTGTGTTTGTCCCTATTATTAGGTAGATCTGCTATGACTCCCAGTCTTAGTAGGATGGCCTTAGGTAGTAGATATCATGTGAAATCCTGTGGCACTGGATCAGTGGCACAGTCTCCCTGATCACCTGTGCTGGGGACTACACAGGAATGTCACTTGTGTGGGTTACGTGAGCCCTCCTATTGTAACTGAGTCTTGATTGCTATTGTCCCATTCATTCGTGAGATCACCTCTCAAGCTGGCTGACTGTGAGGCTAAACCCCAACATAGTATGCAGGTGCTGACCACACAAAGAGGTATTCACCTTGGCAGGGTTTAGTGCCTGTCAAGATCTGCCTGTGGATGTGCTACTTGTGAACCCTACTGGATTCTGCTGTGTTGTTTTGTAAAGATGTACACTGAATATATTGGTTCTGGACCTCTTCAGAGGGACTCTGGTTCAGACCTTCATCAGAGGCTGCCTGTGACTGGTCCTGGGCAACCTGTTTTGAGCTATCAGAGATCCACAGCTCATGGCTCCCTCTGTTGGGCCTGGGTACTCCCTCTGTTGGACCAAGCTGTGCACCAAGGCCTGCTTTTACCAGCACTGAGCCAGGAGGCAAGTCAGCAGAAGCCTCTGAGCCACCAGAGATCCACCTCCATCTGTAGGCTGCCTGTTAGGCTAAGCATTGAAAGAGCCTCTAGCTGTATTCTTTAGCACAGCATGAGCTGCACAGGGTGGTGCAAAAGAAACTCTGGTGGGTGGGGCTATTGCTTACCCCAGGCTGATGTCATATGGAAGGCAGTGCTCTGCCTAAGAAGGATGACTTCTGTCGTGTGGGGAATGACTGAGCACAGGGATCCTGGCAGCTGCCATTCAGCTCTCTCCCAAGAACCACCAACTCCAGACTCTCCTCATAGCTCTCTAGTTTACTCTGCACTCTCTCCACCAGAGCCTAGGATGAGTGGCTACAAATGAAATTTTCTGTGTTGGCCCTTAAAGAGGGTGGCTGTGTCTCTAGCTGTCTCTTTCTGGTGGACAGAAACCCCGCTGCTTTTCACAGGCAGTGTTACGTGCTTGCCTTTCCTGGTTCTGATGCTCTAGGCTGAAGAGCCCAGTTTGGGGTTTAGACCCCACACTTCTCATGGAGAAGCCCCCATGGCTGAGATATCCCTCCAGAACTTCAGCTGCTGCCCATGGGAGCCCAGCCAGTCTCTTCGTGCCCCCTCATTTTCTGTCAGTCTTGAAGTGGCTTCTTCTGTAAGTGCTTGTTTATAAGGCTTTTCTCCAGCTGATCTTCAGTTGGTTATTCAGGATTATTTTTCTATAATTCAGTTATAATTCCAGTTTGGTCCTAAAAGGAGATTAGTGTGACTTCCACCTAATCTGCTGCTATCTTGGATCCCAAGCCTGAATTTCTCAATGGGTGTGAAACTGGGGATGCACAATCAATGACCCAATGTTGGAGTGAGCGTGTATGGGGCAGCAGGAAGGGGACTATAAACAACCACAAGTACCAAATACAGGTCTGAATAAGGTGCTGTGGGAGCAATTACGATACCCTGGTAAATAAATAAGTGAACTGGTGAACAGGAGTTGGTTTTGATCTGTATTGTTCCTTCTCTGTTCTTCATCCAGGATACCAACATTTCTTTGAAATAGTTGTTTTCTCTCCAAATAGTTGTTTACTGGGTGATAAAACTAACACCCTCTCTTTATTACTGTCATCATTACGCCAATTCTAGGGGGGGAAACCCTAAGAAACGACAGATAGAAACACCACAGAAGGAGAATGTGGCATTTTGGACAAAACCACACAGATATAAATCAAGTGGGCAAGCCCCAAAGTGGCAAACTTTGCCTGAGACATCATTTTCAATCTGCAGCACGAGATTCCGAGAAGAAAAAGGCACATGACTATCTCAGAGCTAGAGATCCACAGCAATTCCAAGCGCTTGTGCCACTCTGAGACCATGAGAAGGGATACACATCTGCCGATATCCCACCCTGAGCCAATGAGGTCAGCTGCAGCATCATCTACTCCATCAGAAAAACCTGGTCCATGGTGCTGTGCTTGCCACAGAGCCCATGCTGCTCTGGTAGAGAAGCCCATGTATCATGTCCTTTAAGATTTCTGTGCCTCTATCTTCCCACAAAAAGCCAGTTCTCAATGTCCTTCTTGTGGACATGAGCTATTTTCCCCTTACAACTTCAACTCTATTCCACTTCTAAACACTGCTGTAGTGAATGAGCTCCACTCCTCTATCTCTTCCCCTATCCTGATGGATTGTAAGTGGCCATGTCACTATAAGACCTATAGTGACTCTGTCTTTTGCTACTCTCCCCAGAAAAAAATTGTGCACATGCACACACGCGCACGCGCACACACACACACATTTAGAAAGAGAGGTGGCCCTTGAGAAATGTGATGCATACTAGTTAAGGAACTAGAGTAATAATTCAAAGCTTAACAATAATACATTCACTATGCATTCACTTAAAAACTCTCTATTAAGTAATTGTGATATGCTGGCACTATTCTGAGTATGTTTGTTAAACTCAATGGCTTCCTTAGCATAGTAGTCTAGACATGGGAAACATTTCTGCTATCCCAAAGGCCAGGCTTATACAATATTACACATTGATTAAGTCATCTCTTCCATAAATAGTCTGTCAGAGCATAAAGACATTGGCCTTTGCTCCTAAAAGAATTCAAGGTTTTGGTGCTTTTGGCATTCACCACCAGAAGATTCTAGCTGAAGGAGACTTTGGAGATCCAGCTTCCCACCCAGTGAAACACCCTTAACAGCTATCTTTCCCCAAACCCTTCCAGTAGCAGCAATGGACCTGGTTCTCTTGGTGGATGCTTATCCAGCACCTGTGTCCCTGGAACCTTCACTGTTTGGTTACATGTCCACCCTTTGCACAACACAGAACATTAGAGGCCTTCAAGTACCGAAACACAACTATTGATCTCCATTTGCTCTTCAGCCCAAAATTCCTTAGAGAAAGGATGTGCACTGACCAGCAGCATATGAGAGTGCCCATTTTCCCTCACCTCCTCATAGATCAGGAGGCTAAAAAAACTGCTACCAAAAACTCATTCACACAGGGACACACAATTTCTTATGAATTAAGATTGTGGGCTCTGGTGGTAGATGGTCCAGGTTCAGTTCTTGGCTTTGTCAGTTACAGACTATATGGCCAGAGGCAGTTATTTAACCTTCCTGCACCTCAGTGTTCTCATTTGTTAAGTGGGCTCACAACAGCAGCCATCTCCTGTGGTTGTTGTGAGATTCAATGAGATGATGCACAGAAAACCCCCAAATAAATGCCTGATCCAGGCAGAGTACCTAACAAGTGGCAGTTCTTGCCACAGCACTTTTTACTTTGTAGGACCCTTCTGCATGCAGTATTCTATTTGATTCCCACAACAACTTTACCTATTGGTACTGTGAAACCAGTTGTATGGGGCAGGAAAGTGAGACTCCAGGGCTAAGTGACTTTCTTGAGGTCACACAGATAGCAAGCAGCTTGATAGAATGAGAAGTTCTATTTCCTAAGTCCCAGCCCAGCGCTCTTTTCATTGAGCAAATGAAACCAGAAGTGAACCACTGACAAAATATGATTCTGTGTAGAGCTTGGTCTCTGTGGCAGAATCTCCCTGGGGCTCCAGATGACAGAGCCTGACAAAAACATTTGGCCAGAGCAGTATTTCAGAATTCACATCTATAAATTCTGCAAATACTATTGAGAAAAGCTAAACTGCTGGAGAAAATAAAAGACGATAGGCCAGCCACACTGGCTAACAAATACAAGGCTTTGAACAGCAGTAGCCAATTCCCTCGAGGATTTTCAAAGATTGGATAACTGTGGTATTAAGATAAGAATTTATTACCCGAATGTTTTCCCCAACTTCATGAATCATATAGGATTATATGCAGAGTCTGTGGTCTGGATTAAAGATTTCTAAGGTGTCTCCCAAGGTGGGAAACTATCAGAAGCTTTGTATAATATAACTGTAGGAGAGCAATTCTTCTAAGAGAAGATGTTTCATTAGCAATCCCCTGCCCATTTCCTTATACTTGGACAATTTTTATTTCTTGTATCTATGTTTCCCCACAAGAATTTGTCTTTTTCTTATTCAAAAATTTAAATGTCTCTGCAATGATGACACAAGCATTTACAAAATATTTCTAAACTTTAAAGCTAGATTTCACTTTGGTAGTTTGATGAGTGTAAAATTTCAAAGTAATGTAAAACACTAATAATACTGTACAAATAATTCAATAAGGACATTAACCAGATTGAACACAAAATAGTTATTAGTGTATTATCTTGAATTCTAGCACCTGATTAAAAAAAACCAGACACCCTATGCTGGGGCTGTGTGTGGGAGCCCCCACACGCCATGGAAGGGACCTCCTCAGCTCTTGAGCGGTGAAAGCTCCGTTTTTCCACTGCGTCGGATACCTCGAAGCCGGGGTGTTTTTATTTGCTTGCTTTCACTTTATCACAGGTACTGCTCTTAAACTTAGCAGTCATAATTTGGGTTTAAAAACTTAGAAATTTGCTTAAAAATTTGGAAGTTGTTTGATCTATTGTCTCAGGCTCACAAAAAGTAAAACAAGGTCACTGTCAGCCTGTCCTCTATTTCACTGTCTTGACAGTGAAAAGAGGGGAGAGGGGAGGGAATTTCAGGGGAAAAGGGGAAGGGTTTGCAGGAACAAGTATAAAGGACACATGGACAAAAACTAGGTGGGGTGGAAATGGAAGAGAGGTGGGGAGGGCTGGGGGGTGGGCTGGGATGGGAGTAAAAGACAGAAAACTGTACTTGAACAACAATTAAAATAAAATAAAATGTTTTTAAAAAGTAAAACAAGGAAGAGAATGAAAAGGAGGGCTAGCTGGGAAAGAGAAGAGATGGGAACAGTTGGTCACAGAGAAGGCACCAGGACTGCCTGCGCAGTCCCCTACAGGGAGGTGAGCCCCGGCGGGTCGGCCAGTGCAACATCTCCCCGTGCACCACCCACCCAAACAGCCCATATTGCCCACAGCAGGGGTGGAGAGGCCGTGAGAGGGAAGAGAGCTGAGCGGTGAAGGGAAGGTAGTCAGAGGTATGTTGGGTAGTCAGAGGTAGATAGGAAATTCACAAATTGGGTGCTGCACATCAGAGAGGCTGTAGAGTTAGCATTTTCCAGTTACCCTCTATACTGTACAAAATAACGTGGAAGTAAATACATGGTCAGGGATTTTGGTTTAACATCAGTTCTCCTCTTGAGAGTATTAATACAATGAGTGAGGAATATAAGTGTGACTCTGGTTCTAAAAGAGCTAGGTGAGTCATTCAGAGTTATTGAGGATCACCTGCTCTGGGCTGCCTGGGGTGGTGGGGAGGAGGGCAGTCTTTCTTTTCTCTGGGCTTTGCAGGAAGCCAGGCTTGTAAGTGGCTCCCACCTACCAGTGGGAGCTCACACTGGATGCATCTCACACTTTGCGTGAAGTACCGCAAAGGACTCCTGCTTTGCACTCAAAAGGCAGACGTGTTTTTCAGACCATTGGTACTTCTGTTAGCCCTTGTCACTTACCCAGAAAATTAAGGGGTGACTGAATCACATGGTCATTTTCATTTATTGGGAATACAGACTTACTCTCTTGAGGAAGCAAGGGGCTAGAAGTTCAGGATTTTCAGTGCACTTTTCCAATTCTTTCAGAAAAGTCCTAAGGAAAGAATGGTATAATAATGCTTATTAATCATTTTTACATATGTTAAATACTAAAAAAATATAAATAAAATCAGCCCTGACTGGTGTGGCTCAGTTGGTTGGGTGTCATCCTGCAAAGTGAAAGGTCGCAGGTTTGATTCCCGGTCAGAGCACAGGCCTGGGTTGTGGGTTCGGCCCCTGGGCGGGGCGTGTACGGGAGGCAACTGGTTGATGCTTCTCTCCCTCTTTCTTTCTGCCTTCCTCTCTCTCTAAAAATAAATAAGTACAATCTTAAAAAAATAAAGTAAAACTAAATAAGGTTTTAAGAGGTGCCTAGAACAATGTTGTTTTTCAGGCTTTATTGCTCTTGACTCATCTTCAACACGCTGATTTGGAAGAAAAGTATTCTGAGACATTACCAGGATTCCCAGAAACCGTCTACAGCTGTTCTGACAGTTCCAGGCACTAGTCTTTGACAAGCTAGAGGCACTGATGCTTCCTGCTACCTGATAATAATGTTAATAAGAACTGCTGTTGCTACTGCCATGATTACCCCTGAGAGCTTACTCTAAGCCAGGCATAAGCTAAGTGATTCACAAACAATATCTCATTTTGTCTTCCACCAAACCTTACAAGATAAGATTTCATCAACCTGAGGTTCAAAGCAGCTGCAAAATTTCTCCAGGGAAAGTTGCAGAAATAAGATTTCCATCTTAGTTTTGACAACAGATCAAGAGACATGAAGCGTGGTTAGGAATCAACCTAGGTTCAGAAATTCTCCCTTCTGTCAATTAGATGTGTGCTTTGGGGATCATTCTAGTGAGTAAAGTGGTAGAACAAGCCCAGGCTTCCTCATCTGTGAAATGAGAGGGTTGGGAGATGATTTCCAAAGTCCCTTCCTCCCTCATTTTTTTAGAACTCGACATCCAAGCGGCCTGGGCTAAAGGGACAACTCGTTTGACTAGTTAGCATTTTTTACACCCTAGTTCCCAGCACTACCCTATGATAATAGGTATGTGAAGGAGTGTCTTGGTCATCATTGTGTCCCCCATGCTGAACACAGGGCCTGACACTGAACGAGTGCTCAATAAATGCTGATGCATAAATAGATGGACAAGCAAAAGAACACACAAGCGAATACTACATTGGGTGCCCGACACCTCACCCGTGTTCCACGAATGTCTTTCCCATCTTCCCCAGGCATCTGTGGCACTTCTCCCTCCTTCCTGTCCCATCCCATCCACTGACTCTGGATTAGTTGCTGAAACCTAAACGTATCTAAGCGCTCTCACCACCAAATTCCATCAGTCTGATTTCCAGCCTTCTCTTACTTTCCATTTTTCCTGATAATGTGAAATATTATATACCTGTTGTGAAATTCGTAAAGTTCTCTAATATTCCCAAAGAGAAAATCCTTGTTATTCTGAAGAATGTCTGGAATCAGATGCTTCAGCCAAATAAAATCCATTGGAGTGATATAACCCTGTAGAGATAGAAACAGGCTTTACAGATGGGAACGTGTAAGAGATGATCGGAATTAGCCATTTTAGGGAACAAAACTTTAATAAAATAATCAGAGAATATGGCACACCTATTTCCTGAAAGCCATTTCATCAAATTTTTTTGCTATTATTTTCCTCATCTGTCCATCTTCAGAAGAAGAGGGTTTATTGGTGATGATGATAATAAAATGGCATTTTTATAGGAAGAACAAACATTTTTTATGATTATTTTATGCAAGTCATGTGTAAAAGGAAAAAACTTGCCCATCATTCCTGACCTATTGCAATTACTATTCTGTTACATTTCCTTCATGACTTTTAGAGAGCTTGTTTTATGTGGTTATAGTCACAGCACACAAATAATTTGTATTCTGCTTTGACATACACATTTTAGAGTCTGCTTGTAAATTTCTACATACTTGTTTTTAATTTAATCTTATAAGCATTTTCCAATATATCTGCAAAGTATTCAAAGTAACTATTTTGTAGCACTTAAATAATATTTCATTTAGCATGTATCTCAGATTTTGTTAACTGTTCTCTTTTGAAAAGGATATTTAGTTTTCTGATATTTTGTGGTAAAAAATCTATTTTAATTTTGTACATATAATTTATTTCTCAAAATTATGCCCTTAGGAAAATTCACATTTTTACTCTTAAGCAAAAACTACTACTTAAAACAATGACAAACAATTCTCCCTCATTAAATTATCAAAAACATTTCAATGATCACATCCATTGCTAGTAAGCACATGGTGCACCTAGTGAGCATTACTGGAATCAGCACAAATTGGTGCAACCCTTTGAAGTTGTTGAGTTGTGTGGGTCAACAGTCCTAAGAATGTTCTTATTCCTACTGGAAAGCCGCTTGTAATATTATAAGACCCGAAACCTGGGGTGGTGGGGAATCTAGAGACATATGGTAACTATTTTTATTCTGTTTGTGCAAAAAAAAAATGTCTTCAGTTTGAATACATGCTTAACTGCCCCCCCCATCTACTTACATCAATTATGCTCTTCATGTCTTTTATATAAGCCTCTTCAGTCTCAAGCAAGTCACGTATAATGTGCCTGAAATCGCAATGGCAGGTAGAAAGATGCAAGAGAGAGAGACAGAGGGAGGGCAGAGCAATTTTTTAGGACTCTTTTAGGATAATGCTCATCAACAGTTCCTCTTAGTGGCTTGCTTACTTAGGTCAATTCATTCTGTTCCATTGAACACCCAAGACCAACACCCCATGGCTCCCAAAACCATATTCTGATTGCACTTGATGTTAGAAAAAATGGCAAGGACTCAAAATTCATGTGCAGCCAGTGAATGACCTGTCCTCTTGTAGGACACAGTGTGGAAATCAAGAGGACAGCAGGTGGAGCGGGAAATACCTGGTGTGGATCCTTGGTCAGAAAGGTCTGCCTGACCCTTACACTGTGTGTGTGGTTTCCTAGATCTTCCTTCTAGCTTTTTCTGCTGTTTAATTGTCCACATGGGTATTTGACCCACATGCATGGATGTCCTTTTTTGTGCACAGAGTTAGATGGATGCCAGTCATGGCCCCTTCTTCTGGAATTTAGTGCTTCAGTGCAATTGAGTTCCTTGGCCAAATTGCCTGAGCTCTGTACACTTCCCTGGAGGAAAGCAGGTGTGGAGTGAGGTGGGCACAATTCTAATAGGGCCTGTAATACTCCTGGCCCCCGTCATGCACCTACCTCCTCCCAGGGAATCAATCAAACACTAATTTAGGTGCTACTGTGAAGGAAGTTTTGCCACTCTGATTTGTTCCAAACCACTTGACCTTAAGAGAAGTAGACTACCCAGTTGGGCCTGACCCAATTGTATGAACTCTTTAGATCTGGGTCTAGAAGTCAGAGAGACTGGAAGCATGAAAAGGGTTTAACACAAGGGAGATTCTCCTTTGCTGGCTTTGGAGGGGGACATGTGGAAGGAGCACAGGCAGCCTCTAGGAGCTGAGAGTGGCCTCCAGCTGATCAACAGCCAGTAAAGAAATAGCTGTCAATCAGCAAGGAACTGAATTCTGCCACATCCACGTGGATTTAGGATACCGAGTGCAGCCAGCCAATACTGTAACTTTAATCTATAGGACCTGAGCAAAAAGCCAGTCATGCCATCTCCAGACTCCTGTTCCAGGGAAATTGAGCTGAGCTGCTAAGCATATGATCATTTTTTTTAAGTTTCAGCTTTTAATTTTTTAAAATATTTTTTAAAAATATTTTTCAAATATTTTTTAATTTAATTTTAAGCAGAGGGGAATGGAGAGAGAAAAAGAGGGAGAGAAACATCAATGTGTGGTTGCCTCTTGCGTGCCCCCTGGTGCCCCTGGGGACCTGGTCCTTAACCCAGGCACGTGCCCGGACTGGGAATTGAACCAGAAACCCTTTGGACAGGCCAGCACTCAATCCATTGAGTCACACCAGCCAGGGCCTGATCCTTTTTTATGCAGCAATAGAAAACTAATAGAGTAAGTCTAGATGCCCACGTCTGTCTCTAGACAGACTGTTTTCTTTTTCTTCTCAGGCCGTGTGGCCAGACTTTCTTTTTCAAGCTTTCTTTTAGGCCTTCAAGTGAGTCGGTGTTTGTACAAGTGTTCATGTGTAGAACACATACATGTAGGTTTCCTGTGACCCATTGCTTTGTTCTCTATTAAATGGTAGCCTATCCTAGAGAATGGTTTTTCCCTTTCATAACATGAACCCCACAAGAGACAAGGAACACAATCTAGAAAATTCATACAAAATAAAAATAGCTATCAGTCTTATATATAAAAAAGCTTAATATACACTGATCCAACAAAGACATAGTAAAAAGAACAATATTAACAATTATCAACCAGTAAAATAGTAGAAATTTCAGGTCTCAAAGGGAGACCTACAGATGAGAATGTGGAAACACTCTCAGACAATATTGGCAGAAGTGTAAATTTGTGCAAGATAACTTAAAAATAGCTCACCAAATTTAAAATGCAAGCTCCTTGACTTGTCGTTTCACTTCTAAGAATGTGCATTGTTTGCTATTAGAACAATAGCACTGCAACAACACCCAGATGTAAACTGGAAGTTATTTAAATTCTCGTCAGTAAAATATGGTGCATGCATATGGTGAGACGCCGGGCAGCTTTTAAATGAATGAAGCTGTTGAGTCATGCGGATATGACATAGTCACTTTAAGTGACTTAAAAGAAACCAAGATGCAGAAAAGTGAGCATAGCATGATTATTTGTATAAAAATGAGTGTGTACACACACCCCCATGTAAAACTACATGCTCAGAATATTCCTACAAAGAAATTTAAGACACTGATAATAGTGAGTGCTTTCAGAGAGGGGTACTGCAAGCTAGAAAACAGGGAGGAGAATTTCTACATTTCACTCTATACCTTTTTACAACATATGATTAAAAGCACTTTAAACATTTGCCACTTTTATAACTTAAGAAATGGCTTACATGGCACTTCAAAATGAATGTTTTGAAGCTAATAAAAGATGTAAGTAAATCCTACATTTTATATATTTTATAAATATATAGCTCTTTTTGAAAATGACAATCTCTGTGTCTATTAATACAAGTTTGTTATAAGACAAGACTGATGAGGGTTAGCCACTGACAGAGGAAAACAATTTCAAGAAGGATGAAGACTACAGGAAAGTTACCTGAAGATCATACTTAGCAGAGTCACTGAGTAAGAGGTTTCTTTGCCTTTTATAAGTCACCCTGAAATGATGGGCAGAAGGAAACAGAGGCCTGGATACCTGTCTACGTCTATGCATCAGGCAGGACCACAGCCACGGTTAGACATTCACAGAAAACCAGAGTGCAGCCGGCCTCGCGGGCCCTCCTGCGGCACTGGGCTGCAGCGACTTGGCAAGTCTGCTAATGGATGAATTGATGATTAAATGAAGTCCACAGGCAGGCGTCACCAGGTGGTAAGCAGAAATCCATTTTATTGCCCTACAACTATATAAGAACTTAGAGACTCTTAGGAGTTTTAAAGAATCTGATACAAGAAAATACAACTCAGGCGGGAAAAAATCCCTGTCAGGTTATATCTCTATTCATACTTTGGAAAACGGCCTATGGATCTCATCCAGCTGCTTCATTTTACTTGTTTGAGTGCAACGGATAAAACTTCAACAACAGGAAGTTTCCTGAGCATTGGTTGCCTCCATTTCAGTTCAGGAAAAAAAAAATCCTTATGTCATTATTAAGCCATTCTTTTTCCTTTTTTTTTCTTTGCTTTCCTTCCAAATAACTACTAAATGGGAGAAATTTTATAATTCTTCCTGAGGATTGTCTGCTTTATTACCCAAAGCACATATCTTTGTTCACAGAAAAAGATGCTTAAGGATTTTACACCCAAATTCACCAAGTATACATAATGTAGATGGAGAACAGAAAACACTGGGTGTTCTCAAGTAACTTAAAACCTTTGAACGGTGGAGCAGTTTACGCCCTGATGGGTATCCACCCAGCGGGGCAGCACTGCCATAGGGGTACCAAACGGAATTGCTGAGCCGGAGCAGCTTGCACTAATGCACTCTACACGCCTGCGTATTCTGGCGCTTTGCTTTTTATGTTTAAAAGGGGACCTCTGCCCACTTGCCACCCCAGATCATTAAGGAAGAAATGGAGGCATGATGTGTTGTTACAAGGGACTGTTTCTTTCTCTGAAGCTATATTTTAAGGTAGTGAGTTGGGCAAAAAGTTTTTCATTTTTTCCTTAAGATGGCTCTAGTAATGCTTAGTTGTCTTTAACTTAATTTGAAACAATTTTGTGTGATTGTATTGTGACAGGTGTTATATCAGCATGTGTTTCAAAAAAACTTATCAAAATTGGTGAGTTCTTGTGTAGCCATTTCAATATTGAAGATGGAAGAAAATATTTGAAGATGGATTGAAACATTTTCAGCATATTATGCTTTATTATTTCAAGGAAGGGGAAAATGCAAAAAAAAAAAAAAGATTTGTGCAGTGTATGGAGAAGGTGCCGTGACTGATCGAATGTGTCAAAAGTGGTCTGTGAAGTTTGTTGCTGGAGATTTCTCACTGGACGATGCTCCACGGTTGGGTAGCTCAGCTGAAGTTGATAGCAATCAAATCGAGACATTGAGAACAATTGATGTTATCCCATGCAGGAAATAGCTGACAGACTCAACATATCCAAGTCAATCAAGTTAGTGGTGAAAATGAAAAACATATCTTTTATTTCATGGGAAAAAACCACACAGACTTTTTGGCCAGCCCAAAAGAATAAAAACAGAGTGCTGGACACATGGCTCCATTCCACAGGACACCTCCTGCTGGTCTCAGATGATGCCATAACCAAGAGGGTAGGAATGGAACCTTTTAAAATAATGAATGCGATCTTACTTAGTAAGCAAGTTCATTAGGATACGTACATGTTAGGATTTCCCGATAAGCTTCTCTTCGTCCAAGCATCCCAATCTGTTCTTTCTTTGAAACTTGGCCCCTTATCTCCCCTCCTCAATTTCCCAGCTCTCCAATAGAAGAGTGTCCTTCCGGGAACCAGTTTGTTAGAAGTATATTTTTGCTTATTAATTGTCAACACAATTTGTCACCAAGAGTTTTCATTTACTCTTGGTATAATAGATCACACCAGAAAGTATTACAGATTTTCACTTTTAAAAAATTAGTTTTCATCTAATACCATCTTTGCCAAATTGAAATGTCTGTTCTTATCCTTCTCAAATTCTAGCACCTCTGACATAATGGCTATTCACTTTCTTAAACCTTTCTCTTCCTTTGGCTTCATCTTAATCCGATCTTTATTCATTTCTCTACTTCTCTGTTCTTCCTTGCCTCATCTTGCTCCTCCTGTCTAATGTTGCTGCTCCTCGGAAGTCTGAACTCAGGTGCCAGGCTTCCTTCCTTTCTCTTCCATCATGCCGTTGACTTTCTCACATCTTTGTCTTCCTTCCAGACCTTTGGTCAAGCTCAAGCCCATGTTGCCAATCCACATCTTCACCTGGATGCCTCCCAGTCACCTCAGTCACCTCAGGTTGAGCTAGAACTCATTAGAAAGAGTATGTGAAGCATTA